CGCCCACAACCCGCCTTCTTTTTAGAGTTCACGCCTCCAGACATGGCGAAAATATAACAAAGCTAGCGCCAGTGCCGAACCGGCTGTTTTATTGTGATATGTGGTTAAATGTTATTAAATATATAGTAAAATTGAACGTTGTTTACACATGCACCTCTCAGATCGTGGGTTCGATTCTCGCTATAGCCTGCGTGGCAGGCCCATTTATACGGACTCATGACACTTGTGAAAAGAGTCAGTCAACGCTCTGCCGAAAGTCGTGGGTTTTCTCCGGGTACTCCGGTTTCCTCCCACAGGAAATGCTGACAGGGTGGGTTGGGATTATCCCCCTAACTGACCCTTCCACCGAGCTGTGCTCCGTGATCAGACATGAGTCATAAGGTGGCTGCCATATAGGCGCCCTTAGAAAGCCTTAGATTCGATCAGGTTGAGCTGCGTCCTTCGGCTTCGTAATTCAGCTTGGCTCTCAGCTGCAAGTAGGGATGATTAGCCCATCTTACTTAATTGCTTGCTTGCTTACCGTTACTTACTTACTTATTAAATCTATCTAAACATATACAACTTTGCATGCTGCCTGTGCCTTTGGCATATCGCATATGGCATGTGGTACATGATCCAGCTATACTATATTATGCTCAGTAAACCGGCTAACCACTAGCCATATATGGCTCAGAAAAGAATTTGTGACAGTATTTTAAAGGCTCATTTACACGGGCGATTTTTGCTGCGATTTCAGTTGCGATTTTCTCCTTTTGGAGGATGTGAAGGAGTAGATCAGTTATAAATGTTCCAGGTTATGAAATCTCATAACAACATCATTAAGTAATCTACTCCTTCACATCCTCCAAAAGGAGAAAATCGCAACTAAAATCGCAGCAAAAATCGCCCGTGTAAACGGGCCTTAATTAAACACAAACAGAATTTAAACACCGAATTAATTAAAGTCGCAGTCAAAAACTGAAACTTGCGCGACTTTTACAGTAGACATAAACTGATATATATATGTATAAATAATAAAGACATGATTCTAATTGTATAAAAAACTTACAGACGTGCGTTTTGAACTTTCCTTATAGCTAGCACGTTTAGAAATGAGAGTGTCTGTGTTCCTGCGTTCCCCTTGGGATTTTCCCCTTGTTTTCAACAAATATATCAACATGTTCCCTTGTACCCTATATGATTTTTCGGCTTTGTTCCCATTACAAAATATGCCTTGTTCAGTTGTTCCCTAAAAACCCTTGGGAGACCCTCAGAATTAGATAACTTAATCTCCAGTGCCCAGTGGTATACTGGCACGTTTTTCATAATATTAATTATTTCCTATGGTCCGCCATTATTGAACATGCCGATGAGGCGATGAATTTTGACGGTTCCACTGTAGGTCCATAACTAGCTATGAGTCAACCGAGGAGTCGGTTGATTCGGTGAAATTGTTTGTGAAAAAGTCTTCAAGGAAACTGATCCTGAAGAAATTTATTCAATTACTTATGAGATGAATTACTTATGAGATGTAGACGTTTTTTTATTATACACCTGATCATGTTGGACCAAGAGTACTTGAATTATTAATTTCTTATGATTGGATACTAGTACTTCTGATGTTTGTAGTACAATTGTGAGACACACTAAGAAATCACAGTCATTGTGTCCAAGGCCGCCGAGAGGCAACCACGGGCCCCGGGACAAATTGGTGAACACGGGCCCCCTGTCCCTCTTGACTCTCGCTGATGGCCACACCAAAGTCTATTTTTTTATCGCAATCAACGAGGGAATCGCCATCGAATTACTTGCAAGAAGTCGCCGCAGAATTTCGGTGCCGATGGCGCGTGTGGCGTGCGTGCATGTTACTTACCAGCAGATGGACGTAATAAATTTGTTCAATACAGTTAAATACCTCATTTCATCTCATAACTGATAAAGACGTGATGTAAAGAAAAAAACAATAGAAAAATCATTCAGAAAAAAACAATAGAAAAATCATTCATTTCACATTTTACGATCGATCACGACGATCAGTGGATAGTATACAAGTAGGCGTATTTCATTTAGGACACATAAAGTGATTTCACCTAGATTTCCGTCTGAGCACTCCGAGCCCCGGGTATTTTGCCCCCCCCCCCTCTCGACGGCCTTGATTGTGTCACTGTTTATATATGAGATTGATTCTTAAAACTGCTCCCAGAATGCAGGAAGATTATGAAATTATAGTCATTGTATCACTGCTTATTATTACTGATTTTTTGTTAAAATTGCTCTCAGAATGCAGGGAATAGCGTTTTTAAGCCTTAGAAAATCAAACATTTTCTGGAGGAGCATGCCGGGCCCGACCACTCGAATTGGTAAATGACACATTACCAAAACACTATTGGCTCTTTTTAATAGTGTGTGACCAATGAAATCAAACAAACCGAATCGTGTTCTCAATGTACATCCAGAGTGGAACGAGATGGTAAACGCTATGCAGAGTATATGGAGACTTTGGAAATATTGTTTCCAAAAGTTAAAAATGTCATTTCTCCGGTCAGCGCTGACGGCAAGCCGGCGATAACAGTAACAAATCTTGCTGGCAAATGCACAAGTTTGAGTTACCAGCCACATCAGACTATCCAAGATCTTCAGAAAGAAGTGATGCGCGCAATGCATATAATGTGCGAACAGCAAGTGTTATTGTACAACGGCATCGAATTGAAGGTGTGTGCATATATAGTAGTGGATTTCATTAGTTTCCAGTTCAGTCAGTGCACATGGAGGGTATAATGGGTGCATAATGAGTTTCACTAGAATCTCATTATTTGACGGCATTTACGACTAACGTTTCGACAATCTCCATACACTGGATGGATGACATTGACATCATCGGCCAGGTATCATTAGTGAGCTCCATATATATCTCGAGCGAGAACTCGAGCCCAGAAAGTGAAGAAACTTCGTGCCAACCACGCAGACAAAAACAATAGAAAGGGACTGGAAGTGACGTCCAATAGCTTTTCAATTTCCGACATCTTGGCAAGGAGAATGCCGAAATTTCGTATGTTGACATCAATTAACTGTTTACGAACTTCAGAGCTATTGAACGTCAATGGCCGCCATCTTGGCCTCACTTTTCTCATAGGCCGAATGACTGAAGTTCTTACTCCAGATATATATACAGAGCTCAAAAAAACAATAGAAAGGGATTGGGTTAACTTACAATAGCTCTTCAATTTCCGTCATCTCTGGCTTCAACTTTTGGACTCGAGTTTTCGCTCCAGATATATGTATATGGAGCTTACTGATCGTACGTCAGACCTATTCCAACCAGGATGATTCATATTTTTATTATTTTATATGCATGTCCCCGCGCTTCCACTCAACACCTTAGCTTGCCCAAAACGATTGAAGATATTTTATTTTACAACGAGGACGATCTAAGTTAGGAAGATTGAAATTTGTCGAGGACACTAGTCCGAGGGTATTCCGGCCATGTATTAGCGAGTTATAGTAGTCAGTAAATAGAGCATAACTGCATCATTGCATGAAGAATTGAACTAGTCATCGACATGAATCTTTGCTAATTTCATTTACAGTAGACACAAATTTTCAGAAATATATCTGCCTATCATCATGATCATTTTAATTACACAAAATTACTGTGCGTAATGGCTGGGAATGTACTTTTTATAGAAAAACAAGAACCTTCTTGCCATTCCGTTTCTGTATAATTGTCACTACAGAGCAACATACAGAAACGGAAATGGCGAGGTAATTCTTGTATTTTGATTTGATTGTAATAGCGGGAGTGTCAATAGTTGATCTTGGGTGTTGGCGTGTTGCCAAATGAACTTTTTGTTAATTGAAATCACGAGAAATCACTCGGCAGTCGTGAGGCCCTGGGACCGAGGATGGAACCTCGAACCCAGAACCCAGGGCTTCTAAAGGCTTCTACGCTTGTGGCTACGAGGTTGGGCAGATATGTCGATAAAAATTAAACTTTTGCAAATTTCATGCGTTACTATCAAGTTAATCTAACAAAGTGCATTCTTTATCACAATTGCAAATTATAATAAAAAAACCCAACAAAAAACTAAATTTTATCGCCGTAACGGCTACAAAGTACAGAAAATCAGAACAGATTAATAGAAGATTCTTGTATTTTGACTGTGAGAAGCCTAGGTAGCTGGTAATTTTCACCTTTCTTGCGCCTCATCTCATTACTTAGTTGCCAGGGCCTTCCATGTAGCTCTGAAACATTTCCGTAATCCAAGATCTTAGGATTCGTTTCCTTTTTATAGACAACAGATGTCAAAGGCAAGAACATGACACTTGCAGACCACAATGTTCAACCCAATAGCACGATACGTCTTCTGGTTCGCTTATATGAAGTGCCAGATGAACTCGATCACGTTATTTTTCAGCTATCTTGGGGGTTTCCTAGCACTGGAAAAGATTATCTAGATGCTACAGTTTTCCTTTACAAAGGGGCAAAGTTCGTGGAGGTAGTTGACTATCAACATTGTACCAGCAGATTCGGTTCAATTACACATTCGGGTGATATACTTAACCTATTCAGGGGAATTGGCCATCACAAGATCAATGTATCAATTAAATCACTCCAGCATGATATTGATACACTTGTGTTTACATTGAGTTCCTGGAAATCACCCAATATCTCGAAATTCAAAAATCCAAGCCTTCGATTCTTTGATGAAAATTTTCCAGAACAACAATTATGCAGTGACGAAATGGAGCATGCTGCTTTATCTCAAGCCATTATTATGTGTTGTTTGTCCAAAAGTAAAGATAGTTGTTGGAAAGTTTATAGTCTTAAAACCCTCTCAAGCGGTAATGCAATGAACTACGAGCCACTGCAGCAAAAAATTGCGAGCCTTATACAACAAGGCTTCGTGTGACAATTGCAAACATTTCAGTTTTCCGTGAAAAATCATTGCTTTACGGTATAAATACAACGTGTGTGTTTGATAAGTAATTTTGTTAGATAAAATCTCATGCACTTTTAATTAGCATTTTTTGCACGTGCAACGTATGCACCATGACGGTCCATGTCGTAAAATTAATTGTTTGCCATTTGTAACTAAATTATCTCACCAAGAAATAAAATCTGTAGAAGTTATTTTACAGTTTTGATGGTTCTTAGCTTGCATTGGTGCAATAAAAATTGCAAATGAATATCATGTTGCCTTTGTGACCCATGTCTGTTTAATATATAGGGTATAAATGTTTCAATAAGGGCCGTTGCGAGGACTTTGACTACTTTGCCTTGGGGGTGAGTTAGATTTATCTGAATTTATCCAACTAACGCTTTTACCTGATTTTGCGAAGGGGTTCGATTGCCAAAGATTCGTAGGTGACAAATATCAGTTGTGATTAATCTATTTTCCAGGACTTGGTCAAACAATTACAATTCATTTTTTGAAAATCGGTTTCCACGTTGGAAACTGAATGTTTCCGGTTAAAATCTCATATTCATCTAAATGACCATCCAAAGCGACGGCATGCATCTTACAGAATGACTTATGCATTGATCATCTTATCGGGGGAGACGAATCATCTTACACCACGGGCATCAAAAGATCATGGGGGGGGGGGGCTTTTTTCTTCAAGATTGGTTTAGAAACAAACTTGGAGTAGGGTTAGGTTAGGGTTGGTATTTGGAGTAGGGTTAGTGTTTGGAATAGGGTTTATAGTCAAAACCGTTGCTTTGTTACGTTTTTTCACTCAGAGGCCAGCGAAATAACCTCTTCCTAATGAAAAGGGCACCTTGATTTACTTACACGATACAGGATAGGATTTGCAACATAACTTGCTTGTGTAAAAGGGCCTACGTAAATATGTGTTTAGAAAACAAAACGGGCAACCTTCGATGTTAAAATAGTATTTACAGCATAGACGGATTTTCATATTTATTACTGGGGTGGTGCCAGAAATTTTAGGGGGGTGAGCCGTGAGCAGGTGACTGAAGCAACACAAAGTGTCACCAAACCCCAGTAAGGTCTATATTCTAGGGGTGGAGCACTAGAGCTGCGAGGGGGAGTCTAGAGAGCAGAAAACAAAGTACCCCAGGAAACATTTGAAAAAAATCATGATTTCTAGCTTCGAAAGAAAGTTTTTGAAGTTGTCAATTTGTCATATCAATGGATTTGGCATGTCCGATTGCCTGTTGAGACTTGAGAGAGTTAAAAACTTAAAGTTAAATGAACCTGTAAAGTGTAAACCCAATAGGCCAATACACAATATGCTTTTACTTTTAAAAAGTCATTGACATTGTGTTGTTTGAATCCGAGTACAATTTATGATGCAACTCCGATGTAAATAACATCTGGGGCGTAAAGATTAAATCTAGGCAAGTCAATTTCCTAAAAGAATTAAAAACTAAAAATAGTGTTCGTAAAAATTCCAAACGTTCCTTGCGTGCAAGCTATTCGCATGACAAGGCACTGCAAACTCTATTCAGGGAAGATAATAGAGTTTAAAAACTTTACAATTGCTCCAATAAACCAGTGAATGCAAGCGAGGAGTGATTAGTTTCAGAGTGTTGCACTGTCTTTTTCTGTTCGAGTGTACTCCTACGTTTATTTTGTATCATCAACACTCTGCACGTTGGAGTGGACTATTTAATTACTTATTTATTATGCCGAATATTGGGGGGGGGTTGAAAATTTTTTTGGAGGGGTGGACATTTTGTTGGGGGTGGGGTTATAGCTAATATTGGGGTGGTAGCGCCCCCCTGCATCCCCCCCCCCTACAAAATCCGTCTATGATTTCAGCATAAATTAGCATATCGGGAATTTCTTCAAGATGGCGGACACTATGCATAATTAGACCAACTTCATTCGCTTTTTACTCCGAATTGAATAATTTTCATTCCAAATAAAATATATATCCTTATTAAGATAACCAACGCGAACAAAAATAGCCAATAAAAAAATCCGTTGCCGATGTCCTTTAAGCCCAATTTCCACCAGCTAAAATTTGTTTGCGTGAAGAGATTACGGGAAAAATTTTCTGCACAATCATTGGTTAGCAAAAAAATTCATTTCAAAAAGTACGAAGTGACCCAAGTTTCTGCAAGGGGCCTGGGCTAAATTTCTTCGCAGATCCATCATATTCCTGAGATTTTTCTCGATTCGCTCAGCATACCGTAAACAATTTGCCTATTAGAAAACTGGCTTTGTGCCTACTTTATTATTTACTGTCTAACGCCAGACAATTTTACTTGTCGAGGTAAGAGTAGCGGTACTGTCAAACATTCTACTCTGGGGGGAGAGGTAGGGATGGGGGCAATACCAGCATTTTTAATCTGATAGTCCAGAACTGCGCATTTTGGTTTATATCGATACCAATGCTATTCTGTTAATTTAATTAATGATGACATTTAATAACACTAAAATAACAATGGCATTCATAAAGACCATAGAAACACAAATTTTTGGATAGGGCATGATGCCAATGAATTGCACGATGATCAAACCCACTTCAGTTAATTTCTGTGATTTTTATAAATGCCGACCAAAGACATTGTGTAGCCACAATTGGTATAAAAAAATAACCATATTGACTACTTTTCGCAAGTATTAATGTTAGTATTGATATTTGGTATTGGTACCAGGGCCATTTCTAGAGGAAGGTTGGACAAAAAATTATCGAGTGTGCACTTGCCCTACTCTGGAAAAGGGGAGCAATCTCTACTCAAGCGTCAGGCAATCTTGTCCACGAGTTTTAATAGAGAGTTTAAGTTCGACTTCCAATACCAATACCGATACCGATTTTTTCACTTCCGTTCTCATTTTGGTACCGGGAATTTTAAAGCGTTAAGTTATCACGACAGATAAAGTATAGAACACATTAAACGTCACCGAAAATGTGCGGTATACTAAACGGCAGCTGAGCTAAAATTCCGACTAAAACATGACTCAGGCGATGCTAATAAACAAATAGTTTACATGTTTATCGTAAAAATTATGAAATATCCGATTTATATGAGTTTATCTTACAATTCCCCCGACTTCCAATACAATTGTCCTCGTGCTTCTTGCAAGCAGAGAGCATGCGCGTGACATGTTGTTAGTATATCGGTATTGGTATCGGAAGTCGAACTTAAACTCTCTAACATTTAGCAGTATACCCAAACACATGCCTGACGTGTATATTTAGTTTTTTTGCAGGTAGCAAAAAAAAATTTGCAGTTACCACTGCATGGTCCAAACTTACCTGCCTTGCTCTAAGTTTGCAAATTGCAACAGGGGCAGAGGTGGATCTAGCAAGGTTTTTCGAGGGGGTGCTGAGTGAGCATGCAACCAAGTGTTTCTTTATAATTCTTTAGGGGGTGGTGCGAGAGCATTCCAATAAATTGACTTCCTAACGACTCGAGCACCGAAGGCACAAGCTTCCTAGGGGGTTCAGGGGTATGCCCCCGGAAAATTTTGAAAATCAAAACCCTAGAAATGCCATTTCCTGCAATATGGGCATTGAATTATGAGCTTCAGTTTCACTTCAAAAAAGGAAAATCCTCGGAAATTTCTGAATTTTCCCACCTCCCTTGCAACCCTGTTGACCAAGACCAACAGGGTGTGCCCCCCCCTGTAAATCCACCCCTGGTCAGGGGACCAGGCAACCTCGTACCCAGGACTAGTCGCGAATTGAAGGCGGCGACATAGCCCTGGTAAACGCTGGTCACGTGTCAGGCAAATACTCCAAGATTCTTGGAGTATTAGCCTGCGAGCGGGCTTTGTGGAAATAAAGACAGGGGGGCGACGAAAAGTTCACGAATGGATCTTGAATTGCCGCGGATTATTTAGACTATTTATATTCTTTTATTTTTTGTTGTAATCTTTCTTCTTAATATGTTACGTTTATATATTACGTCGAATGTACATCAATCTTCTTTTATATCGCATCATGTAAATCGCCGAGGAGGCGATGTTTCGAATTTCGAAGCAGTGAAAATGGAGCCAATCTCGTACATACTATTTGTGATGATTTCCATCAAGTATAAAAAGGTACAGTATATATGAATTTGAAAATGTTTAGAAGTATTTCATTGTTACAAATTATTTAGCAGATTCCCATTATTTGTTTATACACTGTCTAGCTCTATGAAATTTATATTTCGAAGGCTATTTACTGTAATATATTTTATACAGTACGTTAATATAGTTAGCTGAATTTGTACAATTGTAGTTAAATATTGTGAATATTGAGAAACACATGGCCAGACTTGAGAAACGTGTTTACACTTTAATACAATATTATTAAACTACATTTTACAGCAGTATTAACTTCAAATACTTTGTATTTACATTTACAGTAATGACCTGAAATTATTTAAATGAGCCATTACTGTAATAACAGAGTGGCCAGGTTGACAAAGCTAAAATCTGATGAACCTAACCTGCTAGGATATTTCAATAGTCAAACATCAGTTTCAGCACTCCAGCTGGTCAGGGATTTTTTGGGGAAAAGTTTTAGCACCCCATTGTAAAACCTGCCCCCGAATCTCAAAATTTCATTATTTTGTTCCCTTGCCCCTACAATCTATATTTATACCTTTTGTGCCCTTGAGATCTTTAAAAAAATTGCCTAACTCTGCAGTATGGCGTGTAACCTTGTTGCCATATTTATTTTCTGACTTCGGGCTTCAATAAATTTCTACTCTAATACCCGACAGAGATGGGGCCATATGTATGAACAATAAGAAATGATTTCTTCATCTATTATTGACCCCTTACCTTTCACCCAATTTTAAAATTAAATTTACTGAATGATTTTGAAGTTTTCTAGATTATTGAAAATAACTTTATGGGTACAAGAAATGGGGCAAAAACAGTTGAATTAAGCAAGATGCAAGTAACAATGAACAAGACCGGGTCACTGGATGGTATTTCAGCACACT